CAGAGCCAAGATTTCCCAAAGGGTACTCCTTCAAAGATGACGAAGTTCCCGGCATCTTTAAGTACCTGTTGGAGAACAACAAAATTCAGCTGCCAGCGATTGTGGATCAAGAAGGGGCTAACAAAGTGACGGATCCGAGATATTGTGCGTACCACAGAGCGGTCCATCACCCTACCAAATCGTGCTACCACCTCAAGGACAAGATCCAGGCGCTAATTGATGTAGGCGTCATAACCCCGAAGCCGTCCAAGAATGTTGGAGCAAACGCGGTGTCAATCAGTTTTGGGTCGGTGCCCACAACATGGTTCAAACCAGAGCACATCACCAAAGTAGGGATGAAGACAGTGAACGATGACCCACATGGACAGCGCCAAAAAGGACTTGTGCCACATACAGCCCCAAACGGCGAAATCCTCTGGGTTCACCCCGACCTGATTGAAGATGAACAATGGGCCGGGTCGTCATCCAAGAAGAAGTCCAAAGGGAAAGGAAAGTCTTGCTGCGGAGTCTCTGCTATCCCAGGAGAAGATGACGAAAGAATACAAGCTTTTCCGCTCTCCAAAGAAGAACAAGAAGTCTTTGCCACTAGAAGCGAAAATGAGTATCACTTGTGTCAATCAGCTTTGGATCGGTGCCCACAACATGGTTCGAGCCGAAACGCGTCACCAAGGTGGGAATGAAGACGGTGAATGATGACCCACATGGACAGCGCCAAAAAGGGCTTGTGCCACATACAGCCCCAAACGGCGAAATCCTCTGGGTTTACCCCGACCTGATTGAAGATGAACAATGGGCCGGGTCGTCATCCAAGAAGAAGTCCAAAGGGAAAGGAAAGTCTTGCTGCGGAGTCTCTGCTCTCCCAGGAGAAGATGACGAAAGAATACTAGCTTTTCCGCTCTCTGAAGAAGAACAAGAAGTTTTTGCGACCCGAAGCGGAAATGAGTATCACTACAACTATCCACCACCTAGTGAGCAGGGGGTGAATAAACGGGGACCAGCCAAAACTCTCACGGAGATGGGGGTGATTACAAGTCCTACACCGGGCGAAGAGGCTCGACAACAGCCGGTGAATAAACCGAAAGAGAAGTCCATGGAAACTAGGGAGGCCTTACAAGAAGCTTTGGCCAATTCAGAGGTGTTTCTGACTCAAATCAAGCCGGTGCCTGAACAGCCAGAACCGCTGAGTCAACAGTGCAACATCGCGACTAAAAACCTTCCCTGCATTACCTTCACCAAAGAGGACATGCAGACGAAGAATTCGAACCACGATCGCGCTATACTTTGTGAGTATTATGCCGCTTCGCTTGATGCACTTCCTTGGTATTCCAGTAAGCAAGTTGGCGTCCACAGGCACTGTTATCTACGGGTTCAATACCAGCGGGTCAAGACCTTTAGGTAAAATCCGGATAAAGTGTCAAATGGGAGATTTGAAGACAGAAGTCATATGTTATGTGATTCTTGATGCACTTCCTTGGTATTCCAGTTAGCAAATTGGCGTCCACAGGCACTGTTATCTACGGGTTCAATACCAGCGGGTCAAGACCTTTAGGTAAAATCCGGATAAAGTGTCAAATGGGAGATTTGAAGACAGAAGTCATATGTTATGTGATTGATGCTGAGACGTCGTATAACTTACTATTGGGTCGACCTTGGATCCATAGTAACGTTATAATCCATTCAACTCTCCATCAGTGTTTGAAATATGTCGACGCTGATAATAGGGTTAGAACGGTGGTCGCGGATAAGCAACCATTTAAAGGGTATGAGAATTATTTCACTGATTCTCTCCTTTATGGTAAAGAATCCGATACTGAATCATCGGCCCAAGGCACGGACAGCGGAGGAGAAGCTGATACCGAAGCCGGATTTGATTACAATGGCGGTTATGTTCTAAATGACATTGTACCCTTTGTAATCAACCTTGACGATGATCAAACGTCAGAGGGCAGTTGTAACTGGCAACTTGCAATAATGAAATAAATGACGATTTAGAGTACTCCCTGTCTCTTGATGATGTGATAACAGAATTGTATGATAATCCTGATTTGTATATGCCGCTTCGGTCGTCCTATGTAACAAAGGAACGCCTCCAGCATTCTTTCGGAACAACCATGATCATCCCAAACAAGATAGGAGGTGCAAAAGAAGTAATTTATGGTAAAGGAAAAAGCTCTCCGTTACCAGATCATTTCCTAAGTGAAGATGAAGATGATGACAAACCTGGTCGGGATTTATCTAAGTATAGTTCGGAAGCGCGTAAGCTCATGGAAAAGCAAGGGTACGATTTCACACTCGGAGAAGGTCTATACTTCGATC